GTCCCTGGAGAACGAGATCATGTTTGGAAGGGTGGAGAGACAGTGCAGGAGAGAAAGAGCCCAGATGAGATGGATTAACATGATAACTGGGTCAATGGGATTAGGTGTGTTAGAGTCACTGAAACTGGCCCAGGACAGGACAGGGTTCAGAGCTATTGTACATAGGGTTGTTATGAAGCATGGGTGATTTAATAGCACATCACAACAACAAATGGGAAAGCATTAAATATGAAAATGATGTATGCCTGCTGTTAAGAGAGACATTTGAGAAGACCAGCACAATTGAATAAAGCCTGTGTCAGTAACATGGTTTGGTCCCCTGTCACTATCCTCAGGGGCCTGTCCAGTTCTCCTCTTGTCCTGTTTCTCCAGGGGCCAAGTTCCTCCTTGCACAATACTGCAGGTTTAAGAGATGCACGGCTGTGTTTGCTTTTTGGCAGGAGGTCCTACACAGGTAATGATAAATTCTACAAAAGTCATGCCAGGGCTGAACCTCGATGATTTTGAAGATGAGGCAATGAAGACATTGATTAAGCTATGAAATAAAACACTACTAAACACTAAAATGAAAAGCCTTTTTGATGCCTTGTTAAAGCTACACCTTCTATTGCCTCCTACATTCCTTTCATCCTCAATGGCATGTTCTAGGAACCAGGAGTGGAAAAGCAACTCTTTATAATTCTGGATCTTTTCTGTCATCTTGGGTCTCAGAACAGGAAGGTCGCTGTTGTTGTTGTTGTTAGGTGCCACTGAGTCTACTACGTCTCAAAGCGACCCTATGAACAACAGGTCTGAATCCTGTTCTGTCCTGTGCCATCCTCACCATCTCTGACATACTTGAGCCCACAGCTGAGTCACTGTGTCAATCTATCACATTAAGGGTCTTCCTCTCTTTCGCTAACCTTTTCCATGGAATAGCATCTCCTCACAAAATGTCCCAAGGATGAGAGATGAAGCTTTGCCATCCTGACCTCCAAGGAACATTTGGGCTGCACCTTTCCCAAGCCATACCTGTCCATTCTTTTATCAATCTATAGACTATTTAGTACTCTTTTCCAACATCACAACTCAAAGGCATCAATAATTCTTCTGTTATCCTTATTCACTGACCACCTTTCAGATGAAAAGACCATGGCATGAATCAGGTGCATCTAAGTTTTTAAAACTAACATGATTACTCTTCAGTATTTTGGAGAGGTTCCCAACAGAGAACTTTCCCAAAGCAATATGTCTCCTGATTGCCTCATGGCTGGAAAAGGTGTTAGGAGTCTGAAATTTCACCTGAGGAACTGCTGACATTCATAACTGCACCTGCAGTCTGCTGCAACCTTCATAACCACAGGGAGCACACCGCCATCAGTCAAACGCCAATAATTTAAAAATAAACAAACAAAAACTATTTCTCTAATACCTTCCTGCAACTGTATCTTTAGTTATGCCTTCTATATATTAAAATGCATTCTGGTGGCCTAATGGTAAAGAGCTGTGCTGCCAAACCAAAGGTGCACAGTTCAAATCCACCAGCTGCTCCCTGTGAGACTGATGGGTAATCTCCCATGCAATTGATGGCCTCTGAAAACCTGCTATGGGCTGGTTCTGAGGTAGTGGTGCTCAACAACAAACATTATTAAGAAAAAAGTTACCTTTCAGTGATAACAATCTTTTCCAGCTTCGCTCCTGATCCTATCTACACTCTGTTCCAGATCAAGTCCATTCTCTTTCTTTATTATTCACGGAAACTTTTCCAAGTGTCTTCTAATTTTCTCGGAAATATGCTCAAGTTAGGGTCCACTGTAGCTATTGCTATGATCATGATTATACTACCATATATCAAGAATCTGCTGTTTCCTAGAAAGTATTTAAAGACACCATACACTTTCACCTCAACAGGGGCATTTTGAGGAAAGTATTTTCATGCTCATTTCACTAATGAGGAAGCTGAGGTTCAGAAAACTGAGGGGCGGGGTGGAGTTTGTGTAAATCACAGTTACAGGAGGACAAACCTCCGTGTGGTGACTTGGGGTTAGGCACCACGCCTGGGTGAGACCAGCCCTCCAGATGCGCTCTCTGCAGCATAGGGAACAAAGGCAAGCCCCGCCCCCTGTGAGCAGCACTATACTTAAACCAAGCAGCCTGTGATTATGGGTTCCCTTCTGACAGCCATGCTGCACTGCTGGTTCATGTTGACTTGTAATCAATGTAAACCCAAAGATGAGTTTTCCTAGAGCTGTTATTAATCATGACCGCCCCTTTCCCCAAACATATCCTTGCTTTGCAGTTGATCCTTAAAAACAACGAAGATTTGCATCCATTCCTGTTTGGTGTTTTCCTGCTAACTTTGGCTCAAGGCTCCACACCATCTAGTCACAACAAACCTGCATTCTGACACACAGGACATTAAAACAACTACCATGGAGTTGATTCCAATGTTTGGCAACCCATGTGTTACAGAGTAGAACTGTGGTCCACAGGGTTGCATTCTTATTTTCTATAACCTTAGAGGAAACAGACCCCCACATCTTTCAATTCTGACACTACTGAGTGGGTTCTAACTGTCAAACTTCAGTTTAGTAGAGAAAGAATAGTTTGAGTCACCCTGATATTATGATACTTGAGTCATTAGTATCTTTCAAAGCTGTGGATTTAAAAAAAAATCTTGTTAAGCTGTATTTCTTCCTTCACCAAGTGTTTTATAAACATACAATTCAGAGGAGAGCAAAGTTTAAAGGATCACTTCTGGGGCAGTTATCTGTCAATTTCTTAACCTACTCCAGCCCTGTGCACTTTGTTAGCCAAGCTTTACTTTCTGTACTTTGTATCACAAGAAGCATTTTGAATATGCTTTTCCAACTGGTGTACCAATGCCAACTTGAGAATCATCTCATTACTTTATAATGTAGCTTCTGAAGCAACCTGCCAGTTACAAATAAATCCATTTAACTTCACCATGGCCACATCTCTCCACCATTTTCTCCACTAAGATATCCATTAACTTTCATTCTCACTGCCAAAAAGCTAGAACTGACTCATAGCTGACCCTCTAGTGGGTTTTCTGGGGTTGTAAACTGCATGGGAGGAGACTGCCCATCTTCCTCCTGTGGAACAACTGTTGGATTTATACCCCCAGAGAGGTGCTGGGTTAGGATTAGCAGGGCACCTCCCAGCAGACTACACATCCAGAGCTCCCTAAAAGTTATCATTAGTGAGCATACTTTTTTCTTTTACTACTATCTTTTGTAAAACTAAAATACTTTGATAACACAGATTTTATATACCAGAAAACAGTTACTCTTAAGAATCTGTCAAATTCTAAAATGATCAAAAATGAAAAGCCTTTAAGTATGCCATTTAAAGTAGTCAGTTACATCAAAAGTCACTGAATTGCATCCAAAGTCAATTACAAAATAAAAGCTCTGAATACCCAAAACACAGGGATCCTTTAGAATGAACTGGAAGCACAAGACATAAAGTGAGTTTGGCAAAACGACTGGAAATACCTGCACCACAGCCATCCCTGAGACATTTCTTTTCCCTACATCAAAAACTATCCATTTCCCTACAGACTCTTTAGAAAACTCTGGTAAGCCATAACCAGATGAATTCCAGGGTGTTCTCTGTCGCTGCTGAGCTGATTTCGATGCACACTGACACCGAGCAGAACACTCCAGTGTCCTGGCCATAATCGTAACAGACAGAAGGCCAGTTCCTTTCTTCAAAGATACCACTTAGTGGGTTCAAACTGCATAAACCATTTGGGGTGTCAAATAACCTTACTTTTTATACTCTTCCAGTTGCCCTTTTTACTTATTTCATAAATATAATTAATAGAAAAATTCTCCTCAGGGGTAAGAAAATAGCTTCTCTTGACCTATGTTTTCAACAACTGTAATAGACACTCCTCAAATGTAATAAAATAGCTTCTCTTGACTTACATTTTCCAGAGAGTGGATCCACACCAGAAATTAAAAAAATCATTCTTAAGGTTATAAAAGTTCTTTAAGCTTCAAGGGAAGACCCAGATAAGAGTATATTTCTGCGTCTCTCCCATGCCAAATAAATGCCTGAATCAGTAATTGACCATTCTGAATTGAGAAATTAGCAAAGATCATGGAAATGTGAGAAACATTATTGTTGTTACTAGGTGCCATTAAGCAGGCTCCAACGTGCACCGACCTCACAAATAACTGAGGGGCACATGGCTGGAGGCAGCACTGCTGTGCTGAGTATATACTTCTGCTGCCATCTTGGTGAGGGTGCAATAAGCTCTCTGCATGGGAATTTTTGTTTAAATCTGAAATCGAACCACCCTGCTCCTTCAGGACTTGGGATGTACCTCGGCCTGTCTGTAAGCAAGCACAGGCTGTGCACACCTGGCTACCTGGCTCTGCTAACCATCTCTGACAAAGGCCATTCAGCTGCGTCGCCTCAGAAAAGAACTTTCTTTTTCTTTACAGAACAAGGGAAGAGTATACTGTTTCACACCAAAGCTACAGTGTCCACCACAACGTATGTTCTAAAACCACTTATTCTCTAAACAAGAAAAGGATATTTGTAGTTCAAATTATTCCACTGCTCCAGGCATACAAATGGTTAAGTCTACTATGTAACAATGGGGTAGGCCACAAAATATTCAAACAGAAAAGTGAGATTCTTTTAAATAATGGCTCTTAGCCAGAGTACGAGAGAAAACTTGATTTTTAAGACTCAACTACTTTTCTCCTACCGTGGAGATTTCTCTTTTTTTAAAACAACAACAAAACCAGCACCACCAACAAAAAATACTCAGAGGATTGCTTTATATTTCATTCTAACATTCTGAGAAAGTACTACTAGCAACAGAATCCCCTATTAAAATTTTGGAAACAATTTTGTTATTAGTATCTGAGCCTGAGTAATTTTCCAGACTTTTAGAAAACGAAAATAGGCACATGGCATGTTTTCTGAAAACTAATATTCCCCAGCTCATAATCTGGGACAAAGGAGGTTGAAAAGACACTCACCTCCACATCACAGGTATATTCTGAGCCATCCAGAAGTATCACCTTGCACTGCATGCTTTTAGGCTTTTTCACAATCTTTAGTGGAGAACGAGACAGCTTGCTGCTCGATGACTTCTGAGAAAGTTTATCGTCTTCAAGCTGCTGATATTCAAGCTGTTTGGCAGCAGCTGCAGCAAACTCCCGCTCCTTGTCAGTGGCCTGCGAAGGGCAAACAAGGAATAATTTTCATCGCAAGACAGAAAATAAATATTGCATGGCTCAAGCAATAGAAGAACATGTTAGAAACAGGATTTCTTATTTCCTTCAGGATGAAAGCTGTCCGACTAGGATGTTAGGAATGGAGCACATATGTAGATAGCTATGATGCTAACAGATTTTAAAAAAAAGTAACTTGATATTTAAGTATACCAACAGGGTCTCAATACATCTTGACTGAAGAGTTTCATTTAGAAAGACTGTTCAGCACTGGTGATGCAGTGGATAAGGTGTTTGGCTTCTCAAAATGTTGTTGGTTTGAACCCACAAGATGCTCTATGGTTAAAAGATGAAACAGTCTGTTTCTATAAAGATTGTTGTTGTTGTGTACCATAGAGTCAGAACAGACCCATAGCTGACTCTCTGGCAGGTTTTCAGAGGCAGTTAATCACACGGGAGGAGATTTTCCATCCTTCTCCCTCTGAGCACCTAGTGGCCTCAAATTGTATGCCATTGGCATTGCAGTGCAGCTTCTTGCCACTAGGCCACCAGAGCTCATAAGAGGGACTTGGAAACGTTATGGAAAAGCTACACTATTCTGTGTTGTTGTTGTGTTCTACTGAGTTGGAACAGACCCACAGCTGAATCCCCACCCACAGCAGGTTTTCAGAGGCAGTAAATTGCATGGGAGGAGATTGTCGATCTTTCTCCCAAGGAGCAACTGGTGGATTCAAATTGTGTGCTTTCGGGACTGCAGTGTAACTTCTTACTACTAGGCCCCCAGAGATATCGACACTATCCTATGTTGTTGTTGTGTACCATCGAGTTGGAATTGACCCATAGTTGACCTCTAGTGGACTTTTCAGAGGCAGTTAATCACAAAGGAGGATGCTGCCTATCCTTCTCCTGGGTTGGACTGAACTACACGGTTTCGGGATTGCAATGATGTTTCTTATCACCAGGCCACCAGAGTTATCTACACTATCCTATCAGGTAGCTAAATGTCAGAATCAACCCAACTGCAGTGGGTAAGATTTTGGTGTCAGCAAACGTCATTAAGATTTCAATAAGCAAAGAAAGACACAAGTTGACTCTAGGTTTTTAAAAAAGCCACTGGATAATACAGATCCTGTAACAGAAACATCTAGGACTTTTATGCTTTGTTTGGTTTGTCTATATTCCATCATACATTATAAGCATCTCATACACATACACAGTATCTTATAATTATTTTTTTTAGATTTTTCAGAACAGTTTATTAATAATTATCCTGACAGCTGGCATTATTAATACTTGGTTTAATAAAACCACTTAAAATTAACCAATCATCTAAAATAGTTACATGTACAAAAGATATGCTAATTAAATCCATTTTGAAAATAGATACCATAATTTGTAATTGACCACAATCCTTTGTATTCAGAAATGATTTGTAAAAACTAAAACCAAATAAAAACTGCATCATATACTCTGAGTGATTTACATCTTAGATAAGTCTCTTCACTTTGACACACTTATTGTCTCTGGAGGGTTGTGGAGAGAAACACCATGACCTTTGAATTTCTGTACTTTTCTCTTGCTGACTGCTGTGCATGCTGTGGTGCTCCGAGGCAGGTCTGACGAAGGTCCCTGAGACAAGGCTTGAACTTTCCAGAGTATATCCTGTCTTCTGTACTAAACACTCAGGCTCAAGCCAGCTCTGTTCTTTGACTGTGTAGAGTGCTGTATGAATGGCTGCATCAGCAATAACTGACAGAAAATACTTCAGGAATGGGTCAGCATCTATCAAACTTAATTCTCCTAGAAACATGGCTAAACTTTCTCAACTTTGCAGTCTGCTGACTCATGATGTAGAAAGTATTGAGTAAGAAACTGATTTACTGTTGGTGCTGCTAAATCAAAGGCAAAGACCTTCAAAACTAGATGCTCTATTCTCAGAACTTGTTTCTTGGTATAGGTGTCATCTATAATGTATACAGATTCTGCGACTTCTACAGGATATATTTCTTCAAACTTTGAGGCTAATAGCATATTAGTAGTGCCCACAAGCTAAAGTCTTCCTCTCAATATAGACGTTGATGAAAAGAATCTATGAAATTATGTATCAGTGTACGTAATATGGCCAAGTACAACGTCCCATTTTGTAGCTTATGTTCTTCTCTTACTTCCACTTACCAGTCCACAAGGACAGCCCTCACACTGTTAGTGATGTCTGATTGCTTCTTCCTGGAATCCACTTTAGATTTACATTTGGCCTCCATTTCCCTAAGGTATGTGTGAATGTCTTCAAGGTAGTCTGGTACTTCATTACCACTCACTGGATTTTCATTTTCTAATACAATTGGCATGCCCATTGTATGAGGTGACTCAAAACTACTATCCATTGGGCAATCACAGAGGACCAGGGATCTTCTTGGTCCAGGTAAAGCAACAGCTTAATTAAAGTCAAGGCATCTTCATGGTCAATATCTTCAGATTCAATTGGTCTTTTCTGAGTCTTCTTCTGCTTCATCCACATGAATGGTGAATGGAGGCTGTGAATTATTTGCTTTCCATGAAGGTACAATGACAGGCTCATCATTTACAGAAATATCCTTAAGAGGTGCAACCCATTGTGTCTAGGGCTTCTGCTGCAGTGCTAGACCCCATGGGTTCCCCACCTTCAATACTGCCAGAGGGGCTGAGTCCCGAGTTGCTGAACCAATGCCACATTTTCAGGTTTATGTTCTTCTGGTCTTCTTGGAAGGATGTCTGCTGCAGTGTTAGCTGCACAGAGCCAGGCTCGTGGGCCATAGGCCCTAGTGTGGAGTTGTTCAACATCACTACTCCTGAGGGCAAGTGGCTGGATCAGCCTGTGGCGCCAAGCAGTGTGCACCCCACCCGCAGACTGGCCATGCAGATTCAAGCCAGGAACTCTCTGGGTACAGCCGCCCTCCTGCCACATCCAGAGCCATCCTGCCCAGCAGCCCACTCACCCAGCAGGGACTGTGCAGAGCCCAGGAAGGCGCTAAAGGAAGGGCTGGCAGGGTGTAGAGGGCACTGGACCCAGGTTATGACAAGATAAAGCAGACAGCTCATCTTACAATTATTAAGACCTAAAGAGCTACGAATATCTTAACTTTCTCAATAATTATACAATAGTTATAAGATTTATTTAGCAGTAAGTGAATTCAGTGAAGTCAGCAGCACTGAAATTCATCACAAAGTGATCCTTTAAATCTGCTTTCCTTTCAATGAGGCAGCACAAGAACAGATGAAATCAGTCCAAAAGCTGTAAACTGCTTTCAAATGAAAAAGCCCTCATACCATTGGACTCCAAACAGGACGTCCCTGGTCTATGCATCTATCAGTGAACTGCCCACTGTGGTCTCCTCAGAAATGCTCGTGCCTGGTCCTCCAACTGCTCTCTCTTGATGTCTCTGTCCTGTGCATTTAATGCCCACCAAAGAGACATAATCAGAACACTAGCCTAATTAACACTTTCCTTGGTCAGAAATAGGCACTAACAAACAGTCCAAACAAAGGTATGCACCAAATTCCAGTCTGGGTCCTTTGTAGCTGTCCTCTGGTGCTGCTGAGTTAACTCCAGTTGACAGTGGCCCTACAAGAGGTCAAAACCTGGAGTGATTACGCACCGCCCTCATCACCTCTCCTGTGCAGTTCACAGCTGCACCCACTGTGCCCACTCACCTTACCAAGGATCTTCCTCACCTTCACTTACCTCCTCCCTTTTCCAAGCATGATGTCCTTCTCCAAGGACAATTCCTTCTGATAAGATGTCCAAAGTGTGTGAGACAAAGTCTAACAATGCCGACTTCTAACGATCATTTTGCTTGCACTTCTCCCAAAACAGATTTGCTGTCCTTTTATACATTTATCCACTCAGTCATTTTATTTATTCATTTGCCCTTTTATTCTGTGGTACATTCATTACTCTTTGGCAACATCATAATTCAAAAGCACTTGTTTCTTCTTTATTCTTCCTTACTCATTCTCCAACTTTCATGTACACACAAAGTACTTGAAAACACTACAGCCTGGATCAAGCGTATCTTGATTTTTAACCTGACATGACTGTTATTTAGCACTTTAAAGAGGTCCTTGACAGCATTTGTTCAATGCAATGCCATTTCATTTCCTGACTGCTGCTTCTATGGGTGCTGACTGCAGAGCTAAGTAAAATGAAATCCTTGACTACATCAATCTTCTTTCCATTTGTCATAATGTTGCTTGCTGGTTGCATGGTGAGGATTTTTTTCCTGATATTGAGATGTAATACAAATTAAAAATCTTTGATCTTCATCAACAAGTGCTTCAAGTCTTCACATTTAGCAAGCAAGATTGTGTCATTTGCATAACACAGGTCGTTAATGAGCATTTCTCCAACATTGCTGCCACGTTCTTCTTCATATAGTCTACCTTCTCATTTTCTTTACTTAACATGCAAACCGAAAAGCCCTAACATATGTTGCTGTTGTTATGTACTAGCGAGTACAAACAGCTCTGAACCCTGCTCTATCCTGAGCCAACCTTACTGTCTCTGATACACCTACCCCCAATAATCCAATTACTGAGTAAATCCATTTCATTGAGGGTCTTCCCCTCTCGCACTGTATCTTTACCCTCCCAAGCATAGTGTCCCTCTCCAAGGGACTGGACACTCCGTGCAACATGCCCAAAGCATATCAGATGGAGCTTATGAATTCTTGTCTCCAAGGAGTAGCTTGGTTTCACCATCTCCAGGATGAACCTATTCGTTCTCTTAGCAGTCCATGGGACACTCAATACTCTTCTCCAGCACCACAGCTCAAAGACGTCAATTCTCTTTTTATCATCCTTAATCATTGTCCAGTTCTCTGATGGACATAGCACATTAACTGTGAAGACCATGGTCTGGATCAGGTGCACCTTGACTAACATCGTTGCTCTTCAGTACTGTGGAGATGTCCCTGACAGCAGACTTTTCCAATGCAACTCAACTTTTGATTTCCTGGCTGCTGGTA